TAGCAATTAGTCACCCCGTCTTAGGGACGATTTCGTAACGAGTTTGCCGCTGCCAGTCCCGTCTGTAGAACGCCGGTGTGTTAGAGAGAGGGGTGATACCACGGTGAATTTCTTATTCTTTTGCTTTCTCTCTCACTCTCAGACTCTCTTTGCCCCTTTTCTCTTTTTCCTCTCCCGACTTTGTCCCGTGGTTTCGAATCTGTATCCGGTCGATCTTTGGTGTTCGAACTGCCAAATAAAGGGAGAAAAAGGAATGGTGTGTATATTCGTTTGGAGAACACCCTTTTCGTTCGTTCTATTTTTAGATCCGAGGTGTGATTCGGGGGAAGCGTCATCGTCGAATCGAGGTGTCTTCGTTGAAATTTTATATGATCCTTAGCTTCTTGAGTGTTATAGACGTATATACATATGTATACATATACGTCTAATGAAATAATGTAAATTAATTCAATCGTAGCAAGTTCATAATAGGACGTATATATGTATACATATACGTCTAATGAAATAATGTAAATTAATTCAATCGTAGCAAGTTCATAATAAGCACTTAACTTCAGACTGTTCAACGCTCCAAGGGTAATGGCGGATTCACAAGGGATGATGGTTAGAGTGAACCGTGTTGAATGCTACGTAGTCGATCGGCGAATATAGATTATGTGTAGCCGTGGATTTTACGTATGCGACGGGCATACTCACGGATTTGCATCGTACGCGCGTCGAACGCATTTAACGTCTACGTCATTTCGACGCGTGTCGTGAATCAACGAGAACACCGAATGGAAACCACCACGATCGCGCCTCCATTCACGGTATCGCGCCCACCGCGCTCATTGATGTATTCCCATGGATACTTATCGCTTGTGTATCCGGGAATTCCTCCCGCTCTGCCGCGTCGCGCTTTCGCAAAACGGCCGCGACATTCTATGCTCTCCGTTTCCGTCGCGGTTACATCACATTGCCGGTGCAAAAACGTGGCATAGAATTCCGTCGCAATACGTTCGTTTTTCCTTATTTTTTTTTTTTTGTTCATCCTGAAAGCCTCGCACCGTCTAGCTTGTCTCTCATATGTCCCGTTGTTGGAAACGCGCATAAAACCGGCGCATAAAATATTCATCAGTATGTATTAAGAACGAGCGTAAAACCAGAGGTCACGTGGAGCCGTTTCACTTGACGAGGCAAAAAAATCCGTGAAACGGAACAACTGATTTCTTTTCTGCCCTCGAAAGAATTGTTATACGTGTGTAATTCGTTTCCGTAAATTGCTGGACTGTGTGCGTGGTACGTCACAGCGGGGGAGTCGCTTGGTCGATTACGTTAGCTGGACCGTTCCGTAAATTGTGACCGACGGGAGAGACAGTACAAGCACGTGTATACGCGACCGTGAGCCGCGCGCATCTTCTGAGCGCCACCTTTCGGATTACTTTCTAGCAATCCGTGACCACGCGAGAGTAACTCTGATCATATTACTCAAGAGCAATTACTTTCCTGGTCCGTTGTACTAAGGTGAAGTTTGGAGATGGTCATTTATTAAAACACAATGAACGCAGGTCAACGTACAATTAACAACGAAACCGCAAGAATCAGAAAGCATAAGCCTATATGGAAACCGTATACTAAAATAATTCCCAAATATAATTGAGAAAGCGAGAAAAGTGTGGGTGACACGTCGAAACGGCAAGTGAAGTTACGTATCATACTCGCCACTCTCTGATACCAGAGTGTGGTGTAGTGACCGTCGCGCACAGTGGTGTGCACTGGTGACGTGGTGGTGGTGGTGCTGGTAGTGCCGGGCGCGATGGTGGTGGGAATCGCGATAGTAGTGGTGGCCTGGTGGTGGGGAGAGCACCCACACGCGCGGCACGCTCTCGCACACCTCTTGAACGGAGCAGTCATTCGCGACACCCACCGCGATCGAGGTATCACACGACTGGACGACACGAGTTCTCTCGGTTTAACCCCTGTTTTCTCTCTCTGCCGTTTCTTTGCACGTATACATATAGATATATAGGTATACATGCATGTGTACATATGCATCTCGCGGCTGGCTCACGGCGACGACACAACACTCTGAAGAAAAGAGAAGCTAGACCGGGAACGCTACCGCGCTATATTCTATTGTAGGCCATGGAACATACTTGTACAGGGATATAAACATACACATATAGGTATATATATATATATATATATATAATATGTGAAAAATTAAAACATCCAATCTAAAAACTTAGAATTCCACTCATAAAGTAAAGTTAACAATATAACCAATAAAAATAAAATAAATATCCTTATAATATAAGAAGAATCCAAATAATAAAAAAAAAAAACATAAGGAATAATCATAACTACTTCAATATCAAAAATCAAAAATATTAAACAAATTAAATAAAAAGGTACAGAAACAGGTAATATAAATTTAAAAATAGGTGAAAATCCACACTCATAAGGAAGACATTTCTCCTTATCAGAAAATTGAACTATACTAAAAAATATATTCAATAAATATACAAAATATCCAATAAAATAAATAAATAAAACTATAAAAAAATAACTAATCATTGTACACATTATTTATAATAAATATTTTAATTGGACGCGTGCGCGCCAATGCGCACGATAACGCGGTACATCGAGCACGTAAACGCGCACGCACACACGTAGGATGCGAACACGGGTCCCGGTGCGGCAACGTGGTCGGCTATCCCCATAAAAGCGACGGACTCGACCGGCCTGCGGACAGTTGTCATCGTTGGCTACATCGGCGGAACGTGTCTCTTTGTCGTGCTCTCTTAAGCTGTATTTCGAACAAGCAGTAGAGATACATAACGGGGTGGTAAACACTTCTACTCCCATAGAACAAGACAGTAGAGTTCCGTATGAACATTTTTCTGCTGAGAACATCCCCTGTATGAGACATCTAACGTACGCGGTCGCGTTCGTTCGATTCGCGATGACGGATACAAACAACGGGTGGCTAGTGAACACGGAGGCATGGTGCGAGCTGGTTGTTTCTGAGAATCGTACTATGTTCCCGTGATCGAACGATTGATTTCGAGAACGAAAAAAAGGAAAAGGGAGACGATAAGATCGTTCTGCTCGCCGATAGATAACGCGGCGCGATTATCACGAGCAATCGTCTCGCCGAAATCGATGTACGTTACAATCGATGTTTGTCCATTTCACGCGAATTAAATAGAAGAACACTGTGACCGGTCGTTCAATTTTCATTGTACTTTCGACGGATCGCGGGTGTACGGCACGTGGTTGAAAACTATTATAAGAGAAGAGGAGACGTAGCCGGTAATACCGAGTGCAAGCGCCAGACAGAGCGACGCTTCCGCGGGCAAAGCCGTGTCCTGTCTCGTCTTTCGTGTGTATAGAATAGCGCGACTACGTAGAGACGTGCGCAAGAGCGACACGTATACGCAGAGAACGATATAGACGTATAGTGTATATACATATGTAATACGCATGTGCCCCGTGGTTGCGACGGGCGCGTGTACACGCTAGTACGAAAGCGAAAAAGCGCATCGCCGTGGCGCAAGCGCCAAAGCAAAAGCTTTTTCGAGCGAGCCAGCCAGAGAGACGGTGCCGATGATCAGATACATCGGATTCAGTGGCGGCACGGGCGTAGAGAGCAAGTCGAGTAACAGCTTCCCACCAGTCAGTCACTCACGATCGGCTAGTCAGTCACGGCAGTCACGCGCCGACCGTGTCAGACGCACGCTGCTCTGTTGGTTCGCGTGGAAAGAGGCCGGTGAACAGAGCGACGTATAAACGGGTGAGAAAAAAGGGATTCAGTGCCAACGTTTGCTAATTGAAAATCGCGACCGTGGTCGAAGTTATACGGACGGTGTTATATACCCGTTGTACGCGGGGAAGGAATATCGCCACGCAGGCGCGATGCAGCGTTTCACGAGCCATGTCGAGATTTGGTGTCGATGATCATCACATTCGATGATACGGTGAACAACCGGCGAGTAGAACGCGAAAAGCGGCAACTCTATATTTCGTGCGTGATTCTTATCAGTATCAAAGACGATTGAGAACAACTGTCGTCGATTGATTTAACCACCCGGTGATCGTGTTGCTAATCCTCGTTCGTTAATTCGTTTCGTTTTCCCAAGTTGAAAGGTATTTCCCTCGCGTGAAATCTCTCGCGGGTAACCCGTGTGCGGATCAGCCGACGGCTGTGTATCAGATGCACATACCGGCGGTGTTGCACCGCAAGGAAAGAGACGAGAGACAGAACGCGTGTACGTACGGATCGTAGGTAAAGAGTAGCAGCAGCGAGGTGCGTGGAAGAGTGCGTCGATTGAAACGGAGACAGAGGGAAGAAGAAGATAGAGAGGGAGAGAGAGATAGAAGAGAGTGCCAACCACGCCACTACACGCTCGTGTTCGTTCGCTTGCCTCGCTCTTTCGTGTCCCTCTCGTGTCTCGAAACTCGTCGCTCGTTGTGTACCGCCTTATAAAACGCGCGCGCAGTAACACGGAACGCGCGACGACCACGGTAACAGAAAAGAAGAGCGGCGGGGAACAACGGGCTGAGGAGTAGAAGAGTCGTACGAACTTGTGTACTCGGGTAAAAGGGAGAAAGAAGGAACGATAGCAAAAAAAGGAGTCGGGCGAAGAGAGAGTCAGAGAGAAGAGAGTAAGATAAATAGACAGATTTCTCGTTTGGTGTGTGGAAAACTACCCCGTGAGTAAAAGAGAAAGAGAGAAAGAATAAGGAACCTGCGTGTGTACCTTAGCCTATTAAGCCGTCGGATGCGCTCGTTCAACGTGTCTCGTACGGTGCACGATACCTCGTTGCGTTATCTTGCAGTAAATATTGCAGCTAGCACGACCTCTCCGGGCCTCCGCCACCGCTGATTGTTTCTAATCACTATCGTACACGTTCTGCGACCTGCCGTCGTACTGTATCGTCGTGGCTCGCCTTGTCGTCGACGTTTTCGTCGTGTGATCGCCGACGGTCCGTTTATCGTTATTGTTATTGTTCGCGAACAGATCTCTTTGTAATCGTCGGTGTGTCACGGGCTGTTGTAGTAGACTTCGGGAATAAAAGAGAATAAGAAGGTGGTGTGAGACGACGTCGCACAGTGTGCCGTAGAAGAGAGTGCAGAAAGTTTTGTGCAGTGAACGGTCGTTAATAGACCAGTGCCGCGGAGAATAGACAGAGAGAAAGACAGAAAGAGCGCACTGAACAGGATAGAACGAGACAAACGACGAGGAACAGCGGGCAGAGTGAAAAAGAGATAGAAATAGAAAATACGAGAGAGCGAAACGTACGAGTGGAATAGAGACGAGGGAAAACGCGCTATATGCGTTGAAGCACCGTGCGCGAGTGCCAGCGACGAGACAGCGAATTCGAGATACGCGAGCTCGACGAAGATAGGAAGATAGGCGAAGAAAAGACACACCGTGACGAAGAAAAAGTGAAGTTTTTCAAAGTACTCGAAGATGCATTTCCACGGTGGTCTACTGTCGATCTTGCTTGTGGTCGTTTCTTGCCCTTTGACTGTTCGCGCGCGCAGGGTCGCGCCCTTGATCGAAGAGGACTGGGCAAGAAGGCCTCATCGTGCCGCCGGTAAGTCACCATTGTTGTAACATTGCCCTTTTTTTTCTCACATTTTCTGGCGGTCACAAACGTGGAAGAAAAACTTCTCTGTTCGTCTGATATTCGATTGGATTTCGTTGTTTTTTATTGGATTGGAAATAAGTAGAGTTTTTAAGATGTGTGAAAGTTGGTACTCTGGTATATACGCCAGTGTATGGACTCCGATGCTTTGCTTGTCGTGATTTCGTCAGATTGCGAGCAGTTTCTTTTCCTTTAAAGGTTAGAGAACGCTCGAAAATACCGGGCTTCGCCGTGACTCGAGCAGATCGTCGCATTTACATAACGAGAGAGCCACGTGAAAAAGGCGGGAATCGAACTCCTTCCGATTGTCTACTTTGAATCGGTGCCACGTGACGCACTTGTCCTCCCTTTTACCGGTGGATGCCGGCAATTTCTTTCATATCACTCGTATTCATATGAGACTACTTCCAAAAATTATTTCACTCGTATCTATGCTATTTATATACATGTATTTTTTTAACACGGTACTTACTTGACAAAAGTAAGGAAAAACGACTATTCATGGATGTAACGACCAGGCAGGAAATAACGCACCGGTTCTTAAACACCTCGTACTGACCCAGATGTCAGAACGAGTTAATGGATGTGCATTGTAGTTGCCGTGCAAAGCTACTGTGCGACGGAACCATGAACCTCGGTCTCCGGTTCGCTCATTTTTCATAGACATGTCGCGTGTGCTCTTGTTTCACCAAACCGAGGATACGCTCGATTCCATTAGACGCTTCGGTATTGCCTTCCAGTCACACTAAATCAAGTGGTCGACTATTACCATTTAGCTATTTGAACGAATTATCCACTGTGTTTGAAACGCAGAAAAAGGGGTTTCACTTAAATCGATCGTAATTTCGTTGCGTTGCAAAATACAGAACGCGCGCGATGTTGAACAATTTGAGCAAAAATGTGTTCGAGCGAGGAAATGCGGTTGTATAGCCGGGGATTAATTACAGTTGCTTCTAGATTACGTAGCGTAATACTTACCTGTAATAACGATCAAGTTACCGCGGGGTATCGAATTCAGAGTCTAGTAATCAATTTAATGGAGGAACACCGAAAAACGAGGTAAAGAGAAGCGAAAAAAAAAAAAAGAAAAAGAAACGTAATATAATTCTTGTACGTTTCGTAAATTATTCTGACCAATTGGACTGTTAATTAAATTTGCGAATAGGTGAAAACAGGTTTTTCTCAATCAACGTGGGAAAGGGGGTTAGGTTGTTGCTAAATGATATGGCGCGTGTGCGTTCCCGGCAAAAATTCGTCGCGCATGCGCATCGTATCGAATCATCGGCGGTTATTGCGCACTCGCGTGTGCGCGTTACGCCGAATCTTCTCCCTATTTCTCTGTTTCATTCGCAAGACACACTGACACCGATCGAATGGAAACAGGTATCGGTTGGGGGGGGGGGGCGATGTTTATGTCGACTCTTTTAAAAGCATGCTCTCTGTTAGGGTCATCGCGACGTTATTTGTCAGTGGGGATACGAAGTGCGCGGGGCATAAATTATATCGTCCGTTAAAGCGCGGATCTGTAAACATACTTAGCGCAATAATACGGTGCTCGTCGCCGTTGACATTTTTGCGACGACGTTTCGTGCCTCTCGAGAGTGTCGGCTCTGTGGCGGACGACGTTCGGTTGCTCCGTCAGTGGCGTCGAGGCTGCGTAGTAGTAATTTTTTTTCCGTCGCATCGTTCAGATTGCACATACATATATCTGAACAACCGATAACCCGTTTAACTGCACCCGCATACCGAGAGCGGTTTTACGTTCGAGTTGAACAACTTCTGAACTATACGTTGACCCGAAACTTGATGGAGTGGGAAAGAGAGGGAGGTAGGTCTAAGATCGTGTGTGGGACTGGTGAGGAAAGTCTCGATGAATTATCGATGCTGACTGAAAATCGCAGGTTTTATTGGTCAGTTATAAATGCAGATAGTTTATTAGGTAGATTGTAGAATTAACTTTTTCCAACTACATCTCCATTCGTATGTAATAAATAATCGATATGAAAATTTTATTGGGTCACTATGAATGCAGATATTCATTTAATCGAATAGATTGTAGATAATCAATTTAACAGGGAAAAATGTGTCAGTATGTGAATATAACAAATAATTGATTTGAAAATTTTATTGGATTATATCGCTACGTGGAAAATAAGGGTACCTACTTTATATCATGTAGTAACGCAGATTTTACGTAAAGAAAAATATCGATACAAGTTCGGTTCTTTTATTATCGTCGTAAATAATAAACAGTTGATTTTACGTAACGGTTTATCAATCGACGGAGCAAATGATCCGTTGCCAATGAAATTCTAGATGCTATCTATCAATCGGTTCGTTGTACCAAGATTGCCAGAATGGCACACATTGTTCCCTCGATCACGAGCGTGTAAGAAGCAGAAAAGCTTGCCTAAGTCGAAGCACGAAAGGATTTAGACGATCGCGTGTAGTATGATCAGAATCCAGTTGAAACGGGGACAGTGTTGGCATTCTGATCTTTTACTTGAAAGTCTGCGTGCGACGCTGGGCATCGGTTGTGTCTTGGAAGGTCTTCGAAAATCATTATCTTATTGAGGATACTTTAAACGGTGGAAATCTCTCGACAAAGTTGAAGAATAGCGTAGACACGATTCATCAATCGATATTACCTATGGCATATACAGGGCGCTTAAAAAAAGATTGCTTAATATTTGGACATGCATATATATTTTTTTCTCTGGAGACCACCTGAAGAAAAGATTCTTTGAAGATAAAATATATTTCTTTTATTTAAGTGTTCCCATTTTTTTTTTTTTTTTAACACCCTGTATTGAGACATGAAATAAGAAATTTGAAAAACATTTTAGTATAATTCCTGTTATTTCGTTGACTTAAGTATAACAAAGATCTCTGTGCATCGATAACCATCGAGAATCAGTTTCAAGCTGATACGATATTATTTTTCACTTAAAATTAGTTCTAGAATCCATCGACGAACTACTATTTGCTTTTACTTTCGTATTACGATAAGACGTTACACGCCAGGAATTCCATTAGAGATGCTTTATAGGTTTTTATTGCTTTCCATACCATTGGAGAAACAATACTTGCTCGATTGCGGAATTCTATTTGTTATTACGTGGTGTTTGTCGCATAATTGCGTAATGTTTTTGTAGTTTCGATTGTAAAGCGTATCTCTATCGAGCCTTCGTCGGAGAGTGAGTACGTAGAACAAGGTCGGCCCGAGAGGACGTGGCGTTAATTCCTAATAAACCGTCGTGCAGCAGCGTCTTCTTGCAATACCAAACCAGCAACTTAAAAAAAGTCCTTGAAAAAATTTTTTTCAAAATTAATATTATAATAATCATAATAAGCCGAAAGTTTTTTTTTTGGATATTTATAGCTAACATTTTTCTTCCATTTTCCACATATTTTTTCTGTTCATCTGATGATCTCCTCAACTATTATACACACTTTTTCCTACTTTATTCTCTATCTTAAGTAGGTTTATCTCCTGAAATAAATAAAGAGTTATAATCGCAAATAAATTTTTACCAATAATATTATAAATAATACAAACAAAAAAGTTCGTTACACGAAGAGAAAGTGTCGTTTAGATTCAATAAGAGTAAAAGTCCCGAAGACTTTCTTCGTTTCCACAAATAAAATCCGTCGAAGGATAATGAACATACTTGAAACAGCTTTCGTTTGGCCGTTTTGTACGCGGCTTAAAGCCGATCTACGACACGAAACTCTGTATCCGGTCGCGTTACCAATGGATCGTCTCTCAAAGAGAGATCTAAGTGGTTCGTTCTTCTTCTTTATAAGGATCTATCTGTGTCCAGTATCGT